CAAATCAGTTAACTACCAATTTTGTTATTGTTATTATTATTTTACCTTTTTCAGTTTATCACAAAAGCAACAACTTCAATTCTATGTTGATTGCCCCAGTTCCGGACAGAAGACAAAGAGGCAAAAAATTAGCGGCAAATGAAACATCGATGGCAGCATTTTTCACATTTTCCGTAGGTAAAACCAAAATTGCCTGACGGAGATCGATGAGTAATTTTTTGGTCTCAAAAGATATTCAGTTCCAACTTTATATTAAATACGGGAACTGCATCCAATTAAACAGAACAAAAATTTATCTTTTTTCCTTTCGGCATGTCGGCTTTTGACCTCAGTTCTCAGTGGAGAAACATAATGTTTCCTATGCAACTGACAAGGAAAATTTGTTCAAAATCAAGAACTTCTTTAGTTGGTGATCCGTTTTCTTTATTCTTGTGAAGTAGATCTGTCATTCAGGGGTGATATTGTGAGGAGAAATTAGACGCTGGTCCCTCTTAGGAGTCAAAGGGTCATGATCGGTCTCTAGTCGCGGCGTCTCCGTTTTTCATTATAACAGAAAATTAAAAAATTGTCCGTAATTGACTAATAAGTAAACTGTCTAAAAATCAGGTAATTTAGTGTTAACAACTGGGTTGAAAACGTAAATTAGCCACCGTAAAGGGTAACGGTGGCTAATTTACGTTTTCAACCCAGTTGTTAACACTAAATTACCTGCTCTCCCACCGACGCAGCACCACAGATTCTTTAGAAACTTACCCCTTTATTCATTTGTCTAAAAAATCAGTTGGTTCTAGCCGGCAAGTGCACCGGTTTATTGCAAACGGGCGGACAAGCACTAGCTAACGCCATTTGGCTGAAATATCGGGTGATTAAAAATAAAATCCTGCACAAGATGATAGACTTATTTTTGATTCCAGATCGATCTTGAAATTGAAAGTACACTCCACTAAAAATCAGTCATGATTTACATCACCCTTCTCCGATGAACGAAAGTCTCTCAAGTTTGTACTTTTAGCTGTATTACTTACTAGATGTTTTTTCTTTTCCCGCTAAGTCTGGCTCTCTTTCCATCAGATCGCCATGCATTTGACTATCATCGAGTTTCGTGCGTTGGGTCGGCCAAAATCATAGTATATCATTAAGTGTATAAGCTGAGAACATCTAGCTGTTTATTTACGAAGAATAATGATATAATTATGACTCGTGAAAAATACAAACACAGGAAGATTACCGACCGTATTTACCTAAGGGGACAAAGAACTCGTTCTCCAGAAAAATTGCGTTGGACTTTTAAAAATGCATTAAAAAAATACACACCAACTAAAAATGTCGTTAACCGCAAACTCAGCCTTCGTTTGTCAAGCAGATTTAAATTAATCTCTTCCCTACTCATGAATTCTTAGTTGGGTAAATGTTATTCTTATGTAGAAATGATATCAAAAAAAATTTCACAAGCACAGAGAACAGATGGTGAGAATGATTTAGGGTGAGTTCAGTTAATTTTCACTAGCACCTGCAAGAACTTTGTATCAAAAACGTGTCTTCGATATTTTGAATCAGATAACAGCGCCTAGACAGACTCTTTGAGTTGGTAATGCGTGGTCTAAATAGCATTTGGTGAGCGAAAATCCGCCATTAACTCGTCAGGGAAGATGCTCTCATTTACATTTTCAACAGATCACCAGGGATAGTAATTTTAATGTAAATTTTGTTCGTATAGATCGGCTTGTTTTGGTTACATTTACCGTCCTAACGAATTTCACGCGTGTAGCACTTTTAAAAAGACAAACTTCAAGGCATATTCTGTTTGATTTTGTTTTTCTCTTTTTATCAAAAATTGTGTGAATTCGTAAGAAAGAGTTCCGTGTTCTGACGAACATTAATGGCCACGTCTGTATGATGATGGATAATGTTCCAAAGTTTCGTACTCAAAAGTCAATTTACAAATGTGTTTTCTAAGACCTCAAGGTCAGAACGTGTCATCCTGAATTTGCTTTTCACGGCATGATCTAAAATGGTTTACAGTATTCAAGAAATCGAGCTCTTCTGGAGTTTTTTTTGGGAAACCATCAAATTTAGTTTATCTCATTTACCTGACGTATTCCCATGAAGCGGTTAATTTGATTGACGTACAGTGCATGCTCCTTGTCCGGTGCTTTACGGGAAAGAAAGAATACATGAAGAAACACCAACAAAGGTAAACGTAAACGAACCAAGAATGATTTCAAAGAAAATCCATTAGAATTTTCCGAGGTAAAGCGATATGAGTGCTCTTTGTACGATCTGGTCCTGATTGGCCAGTTCAAACATTAGAATATTCAGTCGCCTATTAACGTCTCAAAGATAATTAAATTCTCGTGAATTGTCAAATTTTCAACGCTGTGTTTATCGGCGGAAATCGGGAGATATAACCTCCTTTTGGCCTACCTAGTTGATGCCTTTAATGTATACTGTAACCATTATTCGCCTCGCTGTCGACAGAGGATATGTTCGACTAATAAAACGTGCTTCAGAACACATGAATGAATAGATAATTATACAGTCTTCCTTGATGAAATCGAAAACCAAAGATTTTCTTAAAGTTAAGACGCAAAAAGCACTGAATTAAAATGCGACTGGCAGTTGAATTGCCTGTAGTAGTGTTCCAAATTGTAAACATAACAGCTCGCGCGAAGGAAACAATTAAGTGAAAAGATTTCAAAAACATTTCACCCATTGGAGAATCTCAAAGGAACTGAATCTACAATGTAATGCGATCGACAAATTTGAATATTTTCATGATGATTTAGATGAAGTTATTCGGGTGGCAAAGCAAGACCACCTCAAATTTAAAAGCGATTAACGAGAACAGATTATGAACAGACCTACCGATGAATTTCAGTGACTCTGAAGAAGTTGATTTGGCCCTCAAACCACACCAAAGTCGAGCGAGAGCATCTTATTGTGAGGCTCGTCGGCAGTTGTGTGTCGAACTGGTTAAATCATTTCAAATTTTCTCTTTGTCAGTAAATCAGTTTTACCACTTATCTCTTATTGTGCTACGTAGAAAAGCTTGCGTCACTCCTGGCAGATGCCTTCCTTAGACTTTATTGATTACGGCATAAACTGATATCTTTTTAATTTTTTTCGGCAAAGCTATCATCGATACTACAGCAGATGAAAGCGCTTAGAGGCATGTCTGCCTCCTGCTAATTTATTTTGTCTTTGCGGTTTTCTCTGCACGATGGCAAACAAAAAAATAATTTACTACTTCGTTAATTTTTGATTGGGATTAAAGTTATTATCAAAGTTTTAGCACCTGCGTTTTGCCTAGGGAAAACGTCTAGAAAACTGTGAGGAGGAAGTTAATGGCATGGACGAGAAAACCTGGTGAGTAGATATAAGTCATTATAGTACATGTAACACTATTTGCCCCTCTCCACGCATGTCACCAGGATGGCCGAGTGGTTAAGGCGTTGGACTTAAGATCCAATGGACGTATTGTCCGCGTGGGTTCGAACCCCACTCCTGGTAAACACGTCCCCATTTCTTTTTCCATTATCTCTTTTTATTCTACTTCCTACGATTTAATAATCGATCGGAAAGTGTCATATTTGGTTTAGTTTTATCCTGTGTTACGAATCACAAGAAATCGTGGGGAGGTTTTGAATACATTCTTTCTATGAAAATTTAAGGTGCCCACAAGCGAAAATGTTTGTAATTCCAAAAGAATAAAAGCCATTGGTGCATCATCTTCTGATCTGCAACGAGAAAACAGAACAGCTGGCGAACGAGGTTTAATCACATCCTCCTGCTCAAACGGACATTGACACAGCAATTGGCACGCCCAGTCGGTTACTTTCAATATTACGGCGGATGATGCACTACATATAATTGATAGTACAGGCGTCGGTGCTACACGGCTACCAACTGCCACTAAGTTCCCAAGATTGTACCTCTACCAGGTCTTTATTTTCTTCTTCTTCTTCTTTCCTTTTTTAAGACAAATCCCGTTTGGCCTGCAATAATTAGATTATTTGCTAGCTCAGAGACATTTTTCTTATATTTTGCCGTGGTATCGATCGCTTTCAATTTTTTAATTTTTTTAAAATATTTTTAAATGCATTGCAAACACAACATTTGGAACCAGAAATATTAAAGTAGATTTAAAATACTGAACAGCCTCGCCATTTTTCCATTGGTTGATATCAACGGCATTAGATGCTGCTTGAGAAAGTAAATATATAGCAAGGAAATGGGGCCGAAAGACGAAACCCAAAGACAAGAGCCTGCGAGCGGGCTAAACAGTCAGCGGTAAGAGGTCACAGGGTGGTATATATGTCATATACAGGTAATTATTATGTCCCCAATACATATTATGTTCTGTACTTTACATAAGCAGTGGAATACTGCCGATAAGCGGCTTTTAGTAAAACACCTCTCTTACTTTGCAATACGTGTCTGATATATTTTGTTCTTTAACTAACTCTTTGAAAATTTACGGGTGCTTTGTTCTTCCAAATTGCTCGAGAAACCAGTTGAGCATTCTGTAAAAAACGTACCTACTTCTAATTTCGACTTTCTGCCCTCAATTTTACCCTTTTTCCCGAATTTTAGCTGACTGTAACGTCTGAGGTTACTTGATGTCCTCTTAGCTAATGGGAATGCCGAAGTAAGGCTTCTCGTGGGTTGCACGCAGTAAAGCATAACAACGCACGTGCGTTTGGAATTTGAGGATGTCTTTGGAATCCCAATCTTCGCGTGCCGTGAAAAACACAAGGAACACCTGATCAAAGTTAAATCGATCAAACACTTACTAGAGTGACACTTCTGGCAGGGTCAAAGAGAGTTGAGAGCTGAAGTGTAACTGCCTCGACTATGCCATGTCAAGCTTCCTAACATAACGCCATTGCGTCTTAAAGAGGAAAAAAGCTCTTCAAAATACGAGGAGTTGCTTATTGGCACCAGTACAAAACCCTCACAATAACCAAACTTTCATTAATTACGTAAAACTGAACAACACATAGAAGTAATCAATTGTGAAATTTTAATTGAAATGGTCATCAAATTTTTGTGTTCGCCCTATAAAATCTGAAACTCTAACTATATTATATTAACGTGTGTATGAATTCCGTGATGCAATAACAAACGGGTGTGATAAAATTAACGTAAATAGATTTCAGCGTACATTTCCTCATACTCACCCGAAGAGCGAGTATTGTGTCTAAATTGCGCGAGCAACATGAAATGTGCGCCTTACGTTCTCGGCGCCATTCATACAAAGATTCCGTTCTACTCAGAATTTCATTCAATACATATTGCTCTCTGCAGTTTAAACAATAAAAATTTGAAGGGAATAGAAACCCAAAAAAAAAATATTGGTAAAAAAATTATTATGAACTTTGGAAAACTCAACAAAACATTTTAACTTGAGGAAATGAATTATTTCCCATAATAGAAACGTTTCTATTCTTTTTGATATAGGTATAGCGCGTATTAAACCTTAAAAATCAATCAAATAAACATCTCTCCTCCGAGATACAACAAGAGAGCACAGTTACAATTTAAATAAGGCGGTCTCTTAGTCACTTGCAATAAATAAATGACAACATTTTCACATTCTATCAAGAAAAAACGTTTTCAGAAAAGTTAAGGGCTGTTTACGGCAAACGGCAAAAATTAAACTCAGTTTACGCTCGCTTTTCCGTTTGTGGACTAAGACGAAAACAGTTGCATTTTGTTCAGCTTAAGATTATATTTCTGCGGTGTTAATTAATAATATTGAAACGATGAGTAAACTGATCAGATTTCAGTTTTGCCATTTTCGTAAAAACACGCTTCAACTTCCGTCAAATTTAACTCCCAAGCAGTCACTCTTTATCTCCTGTTGGGAAAAATTCAAGAAATACTGTCCTACTTACATACCCTCTTACCATCTTGGCCCCAAGAATTTTTTACAGCATTCACTTTGAAAAAACTCATGAATTCAAGATGATTTGTGGAGATTTGCATTTGCTTAACGCGCTGCCTTGAAGATCGAAATTTCTTTTAAAATGTTCGTCGCCATGATTTGCTGAAGTACACGACCAGAAAATAATTCTGATGTCTAAACTAGAACCAAAAATTGTGGAATGATTAATTTAAAATCCTCTAAAGATTCAGGTGAAAAAGTCAAAACACACTTAAGCTGCTGCTTCAAGAGAGAGAGTGAAAAAAAAAAAGAAAAAAAAACCGGGCGGTGTTGACGGTTCATAAACAAATTTATGAAAATACAATAAAAAAGCACTAAGGCCATGATGCAGCGCTGAGATAGAATTTAAGTAATCTTTTAACGCGCCTCAACATTGGAAATACTTTTCTTTGTAAATGCTTCGCAATTGACACTATATAAAAGGCACCACGTTAAAATCAAAATAACCCTTTCACGTCTCAACATTTGAATTAATTTACTCTATAAATGTCTCAGCCTAAAAATATTTTATTTGATCATATCGCCCGTTTTCCACAATCTGTCGAAATTGAGTGCCATTTCACGTACTACATCGCGCGCGTTCTGCGCTAAGACATATCGCGCTCTTTCGTGAAACGTGATACTAAGTCGATCCAAAACCACGAATCAAACCATTTCCATCTCTCTCGTCACTTCATCCAGATCAATATCGTCTAGACACAGACTCATGCGCTTCCAAAAATTCTGTATTTCCAGCAATTCATGGGCGGAAGTTTGGAGTGGATCCCTGTTTGATATGTGGCCCCTTCTCCCATAACTTGCGTGACTTTTCGTTCGCGATGGCATCGTATTTTTCCCGTTCGTTCTACGATTTCCAGATCGTAGTTTCTTAGTTTTGTGTGAATTACTTACCGATCGTTGAACGAAAGATCCCTCGCGAGAAGTCCTCGAGAGATCGCTTTCTTGATCAGTGCTCGTACTCGCGCGCGGAATACTCGAATCGGGTGACTCTCTCTTCTTTACTCGTTGCGCGCTCGCAGGTCTTGTACCTTTCTTGTACATCTGCGATGGTGAAGAAAGATTTTGCGATCGCGGATTAGTAGCCGAAGAATAAAGGTGACAGACGCGTTGAAGATTCTGTCCAGCTGTTTCTCGTGGTAAAGTACACAGAGGCGTTTCATTTGTTACGTGCGTAAAATGTTGTGTTCTTTCAATTGGTAGTGTACCATTGCGTGGCGACGTTACATCTGTCGCGTTCAAAGGTGTACTCTTTTCACTAGCACCCTGTCGCGAATGATTCTGATCAGATGTTCCATCATGCAAGGTAATTAATGATCCATTACCCATATGATTTCCATTCAAAGATCGCTGTATTTTTGAGACTTTTTTTCGTCTTGAATAAAAATCTTCTCCATGGTGAAAAGTATCACCATTAGACTCTGATGCCGGTATGGGATCTCTTCCATTTAGAACTTCTTCCAACTCCTCTTTACTAGTACCAAAGACTGTGTCTCTTCTTTGGCCATCTTTAAACTCTACGCTTTTCACAACACCATTCTTTACCTTCGGGATAAAAGGCGGAGAAAGATGATCAGAAAATTCTTCGAGCATATTCTCGTTTGATCGCTGCAGTGTCAAAGCACTCAATCTATTCTTCTGGGCCTCGACGACTTGAGAAGGAACCTCCGTTTCGCTCAAAATACGACTGATTCTATTTCTGTTCACGTTGTTGGCGGAACTTGGTGATCCGATTAGGAAAAAGCTTTGCCTCCCACAACAAACTGCATCCAAAATCGCAGCTTTAAGCTTGCGGTTTAACATCACGTAGATAAGCACATTGTAAATCACGCACGACTTAGCAACCACAACTGTAATGTGTGACAGGAGAGGGTCAATGTAGCTATCCGAAGCTTTGATCAACGAGACGACAACATAAGGTACCCACACGATCATGGAGAAAAATATAACAACTATGATCATTTTCGCAGTCTGTATGTGTGTTCTCTTTAAGACGGGATACCGCTTCTTGACAGAATTCGGCGTTCCAAGTGATCTTCCAATTGTACGCTGCGTACTTCGGCGTACAGCGACAAAAATGCGCGCGTAGCAATAGATCATCACTGAAAGAGGCACGAGGAAAAGAAAAAAAAGTGCAATAACTGAATAAACAATAGAGGAGGTTCTTTGATCGCCAAAGTTAATGTAACAGCCACTGAAAAAAACTTTTTCCTCCACAAACGAATTCCATCCAACACATGGAGGAAATGTAAACAAAAAGGTATAAAGGTAGATTATGAGTACTATTGCAATCGCCTTTCGTCTCGTAATTACTTGAACAGCCCGGGTCTGGCTCGGCCGGGTGATAAAAAAGAATCGATCCACAGAAATCGCCGCTAGCGTTGAAACGGTACAGCAGATGAAGAAGTAGTGGAAAAACCCGTACACAACACAACCGGCGCGACCAAACAACCATCTTCCATACAACGTGGACGCGATTGAAAAAGTATTGTCTAAGATGGAAAGCATCACATCGCAGAATGCCAGGTTCAGAATAAACAAATTAGCGGCTGTTCTGAGCTTTGGGTATTTCCAAAATACAAAAATCACCAGACAGTTTGCAATAATCCCACAAACTCCTACGGCACACAGATAAATAACGGATGCGAGTCTCGCAGTCCCATACTCGTCTTCGAACGAAGAACCGTTGACAAACAATTCCTTATTACTAGAGCTCATATTGTGTTTGCCGGCGAATTGTTGGTTCCTTCGTTGTAAAACTACCTTGATACGTCCTCATTTAGGTCACCTCTCCAGAAAGTCAATTTCCACGTAGTTAAGACATTTATGACTCAATCTTTTCACTTCATTTAACGCACGGAACCTCAAGTCATGGAAATTAGATCGAACGTTCCGGCCAGTATCCCGTGGGTTCTAATGGATTCTAATGTTGACCAATCGCATTGAAGTGTTTAAACAGTTCTTTGACGCTATTACCATAAGATACAATTGTTGATTAATAGAGCCTTTGTAAACCTCGCACTTTTGTTCGCAAGTTTGTTGTTTACTCGCGATTTACCTGACCGAATGTATTTCCTTCGACCACTGCAAAATAGCTCCTAGAAAGACTGGTTGCTCTGAAGATGTCAGATATTCCATCCAAATTCGATTAGCAGATTACGAGAGGCTCTCAATAACAATTTCAATAAAATTGTTCAACTCTAAACGAACGGTTCCAGACTAATATCTCTTGGGCATATATTATGCAAATAGCTGTCATCAAAAACATTTTATAGCAGTATCATTGTTCCAATGACGTAACTAAAACCCAAATGGATATGACATTCTTACGCCCATTCGCCGCCTGAGTTTATATTTGGCTTGAGAAAATTGAAAATGTATGTACACACTCAAGAGCTGGTTGAAAATTCAAGAGCGTAGAACAGGTAGAAGCGTTTTCCATCGTCTGTAAGGTTGGTATTTTGTCAGTGAGCTAAATGACCAATAATTTTAGACACAAAATGTCGCCGAGTAGGTTTCATAAAACGGCCCAGATTCTAGATTCTATTATTTGCGGAAGATCAGCATATGATTATAACGGTATTAGAAGGTCAAATGTTAGAAGATAAATATAGTGTTTACATACCGACAGCGACGTGAGATTCAAGTATATCAATAACGTGTTTTGCATTTGAACGCATGTATAGATAACATAAGCCTCTTAGTGTTTTTTTTTTTTTTGTTACTGTTTTTTGTTCAATTTTTGGTTTTGTTTTTGTTTTATTCTTCTTTCTGATGACATCAAATCAGTCTGATTGTGCGTACAAACAATTTCTGTACAAAAATCAAGTCGGGCACTACTCTACAGACAACCAATTAGTTTTATTTTCGTTCATGAACTTCAGAAAAATACTGTTTTATTTTAATTTCCTGATACTGTTTTCTTCCTCTCTAACAATTTTTTTTAAATATTAATCACAGATGTTGGCTCAGTCACGGATTTTTACAGCGTTAAAATCAATTTTAGACGGAACTGAAACATTCAATCTCTCGATTAGAACTAGACGATCAAAGAAGAATGTCTCAGCGTGTAATAAATACAGATCAAGGCACCAATGCTTGCCTGCAAATTTCGTTTCATAACCCGAACGTGGGTGGAATTTATATTGTACAAACCTATTTTTTCTTATTATGTATACTTCAGGTGTCAAAATGACACTTGAATTTTTTATTAACTGTGTATTGTTTTGTCTTTTTCTTTTCAAAACAGTTCAGAACTGGAAGTAAGGAAAGGAAGACATGCCAGGTTCTGTCTGGTGGAATCGACAGTTCCTCCACTTCGTGGAAATGTTATGTCTCAGCTTCTATTATTACCGAGGGCAAACAAACAGGAGAAAACAGACAAAAAAGACACCCCAAATTAGAATTAGCCTCTTGTTTTCGCAGACTGACTGACTGTCTGTGGGGTCGCGACTAAGAAGCTGCAATGTCGATCGACCTCTTTTCATCCCTGGCCGGGCTGCGATTCTCTGACAATGTTAGACTTAAGCCGGTTACCGGTGTTCTCCCACCGCCTGTAAGACCTCTTATCGCCATCTGTTAATTTAGCCTAAAAGCAAGCTATTAGGGTTCTCCTTATTGCCCCTATTCCGGAGACAGTCGCTTTTACACCATCGGCAGCCACTTACGTGAAACCTCTGAAGGTAGGGTACGGGTATCCGCACTTCTTCAACTCTGCTCGTTTGATCTTCCCGCTATTTCTGTCTGCCGCCTCGTTCACTGCCGTTTCAGAAATAAATGTCTCAGCATGTTCTGATGCAAAAAAAATTCCCGTTTCACTTCAGATAAAGCCAAACATGCAAAGATTTTAAGAGGAGTTTCTTCCCTAGTCAATTCAATTCAATTGAAATTGCGTGCGTGATTATCGCCTTTTGCGTGCGAGACTTTTTAAAGGTGTGCGTCAATTACACGAACGGGCTGTTGCTCTCGTCAATTGAATTGCTCTGAACAGACGGCATTTGTTTTATCTTTCGGCTTCAGTCAAGAGATCAGGCGTTTGCGTGCCACAAACTCTTGTTGTCGTTTGACCTTCTGGTTTGGACTCATTTTCCCTTGAGTTACTGAAAATTCGCGCGTTATCACGTTCCGCACTCGATACCCGTTCCAGGGATTGGCGCCACATCAAATGAATGTTTTTCTCATTATCTAATATCACTGACAGCAGAAGTTGTTAATTTTTTTCTGCTGTTTTTTGACCACGAACGAGAGATAAGACATGTATTGAAAATTAGTGTTGTTTTTTAATTATCTAATCTGCGTTCTCAACTCTTTAAGAGGCTTATGTTCTAAAGTCTGATTCCAAAAGATCTTATTGTTTCTCTTCTACCATTCTATTCTATGAAGAATACCTCTAAAGGCTTTAATTAGTAGAGTCTAAGTCGATTAAGTTGATACTGTAACTAGCTCCCATAGTAGGACCTAGATGAGTGATTAAAAAAGGGGAAGAGAAAAAAAATTCCAAGTTCTCAGATTATTGACTTTGAAGCTTAACCAATGAGATTTCCGGATTTCCCATAAGCCTATTTGCGTTTCATTTGCATATATCATGGAAAATTGGTTTTATCCCAGATTGATTGTTTTAGCCTCTAATGCAATCCTCAATCCTTGAGAGTGTTATTTCAATCATGGTTAATGTCATTATTTTGACACTTGGCGAAGGTATGACTTACAGTGATTTATGAAGAGTTTACATAAGGTGAAGTGGTCTAATAAAATATAAGCTTGTTACAAGTGCTCGGTCTGTGAGGGCAAGCTAGCCTGTTCAAGTGTTTCTTCTTTGCGGGTGGGTGAAAAAGCTGGCAGACAACAAATTGTGGTTGTAATTAAATATAGGGAGAAGTTTCTAGAAACTGCGGCACTGTGTCAGTGGAAGAGTATAACAAGATAATTGATCATTATCAACTCAGGTGATAATTTAAATTGGCCACCATAATAACTCCTGCCACTTTGCATGCACTGCTTGCTCCTATTGACTAAGGGCACGGCACAGGCTGGAGACTAACAAAATTTGGGTAAGAGTGAGGAGGGAAAGGAATGCCACCTCATCCCTGGGAATTTGCCCTTCCAAAAGGGGAAATTCCCCAGGAATAAAGGCCATGGTAAGGAGAGCAATTTTTCCACATGCTCTTTACCTTGTCTCTACAAACCAAAATCCTGGCACAGACTGAGGGAGCCCACACACAAAACCCAGCCGAATCCAAGAGCATTCCAGGTTGTAAAATTACATAAAAACTGTCATGTATTCTCGGCAATGGGAGAGAGGTTACTTGTAACCTATGATCATCCCCCTTGGTACACCCCCTCCCTCTGGGTGTGACTAAGCATTGTGAAGCAGAGACAGCGCAGCAAGTTTTTGAGTGGGGAGGGCTATTTTTGGCTCCCTTATTTTTGTTAAATTATATTTTGTTCAATTTATTTTTATTTTTTCAAAAAAGTGGGGGGACTAAAGCCCCCCCCCCCCCCCCTCTGCGTAGTCCCTGTGAAGTTCTGCTTGGAATCTCACAACTGAGGAGCACATTTGACGCCTTGCTATCGTAGGAGGGTCTGATTTATTTCTTTCTGTGTTTATACAAAACATAAAAATCATATTAATTTAAAAGGCTTTTTTTTTGTAGCCATAAGCACTTGGTATAGTTGGTCAGGTGATTACCAAGATTCTCCAGATCTGATTGGTTCATTACAGCTGCATATCTCTACATAATCACCATGTGAAAGGTGATTGTAACAGCAGTCCTGCAAATAATTTCTGGTCAAACACTTATTTAACACCTTGGTAACATACATTAACAAAGACACTAAACACTATCTATTGTAACTTCATTCAGCATTTCTTCTTTCATAGGCAGTTTACATAATAACCTTAATCATTCTTTGTACCAGTTTGTGTCTTTGTTATAAGCTTTGTGACAAGTTGGAAGCAAAGAAATAAATAAAAGTTACGATTTTTTCTGACAATCACTTGAACAAGGCCTCAGGCTTGTTAAATAATGACAATTGCTTTTACTTTCAAACTTATGCTCAGAGACATTGCTTTTATATACGTATATATGCTATTAGGCAAAGTAATGTCTACAACAGATAGGGAAGCCTGCATAGTCAATGCATGTAAATAATTCCTTGCTATGAAAAGCAGCTGAAAAATTAACAGTGAAATAAAATATTGTTAATATTTCACAACAAACACGCTAAAAACATTCTCTAAAATTGTCTAAAAACGTCATACGCTTATAACATATATATATTCCAAGGATGAGTTTTCTTTCATTCCCCGTCAACATAGAGTCAGCCATCCAAAAGTTCCCACAAGGCGTTAACAATATCGTATTTGGTTTTTTCACTTTTACTGAAACAGAATGGTTTGACATCGTTTAAGTTCGCGATAAATCCTTTAACTTGGTCATCCTCGCATTCATAATCCCATCTTATATGGCTCACGTTTGTATACAGGCTGAAATTGTACTTCGTTTGCGGAAGAACTTCCACTCGATCGGTTTTCACTTCTGCGGCCTTCTCTGTCCATTCCTTCATTTCTGCCTCTTTTTCAGTAATATTCTTCTCGAAGACTTTGACATCGGCCTCCAGTTTTTCGATGTGCTTTACAGTGGTATCTTTTTCAACTTGCAGCTTCTCTATTGCCGGCAGTTTTTCATCGACTCTCAAAGCTTTTTCTTCCTCCTCGTTCTTCGCTAATATTTTACTTAGGGCCCGCAAGGTCGTCTTGACACTTTCCTGCTGTAGCGATCGCTCTTCATCAATGTCGTTATAGATCTTCGCAACTTTTACCAGAGCTTCTTCGTCTTCTGCGCTAGCAAGAACTGTAATTACTTCATTGGGAGTATCCACAGCTTCTTTGAAGGACATCGTAGTTAAAACCTCAAAGGACGAGATCAAGAATTCGTTTCCCAAACTGTAAACAAAACTGCAATTTTGAAAAATGGCGCCTGAGTTCAAATTGGTTTCCAATCCTTACCGTGCCTGAGTAGTACTCAGACCTCTTTCATTATTCAATATGGCAGACGTTCTCGCTGCTGTTTATGACAGTGCAAAACTTTTACGAAATAGTGGATACAACAGCGATGCATTGAAAGAATTGAATAAGCTAATTGACCTTTCTAAGAAATGCAAGGAACAATCCGAATCACTAAATCAATTGTTATCTCGTGCATGGAACGATAGAGGACATTTAAAGTATTTGAAAGTTGACTTCGATGCTGCAATTTATGATTACACTCAAGCTATAGAACTCGATAAAAACTTTGCAGTACCTTACTACAACAGAGGGCAGATTCATTACAGAATGGGTACGTACAAGTCATTTGACACCACTCTGAAATCACAGAATGCTTTGAACTGTTTTGTTTTCTATGTATTTTTAAATCTACCAAAAAGAATTAACATATAAAAAAGAAAAAAAACTTTATTTCCAAGTTACTCCTTGACCTTAGGTATTTCCTTTTCAATCCTTTAATATGTTTGACTTGTTATTCTTTGTTCTCATTTCTTTGAAATGACAGGACGTTATGAAGAGGCAGTGAAAGACCTCAGACAAGCCCTGAGAATTGACCCAAATTTTGAAGATGCGAGGCAAAACCTAGAACAAGCCATTCAAGATTGGAATCTTAATCCAAAATAAACTACTATCTGTGCATAGATTTGCTCTAATGAAGGGCTTAAGCGTCAGCTTTAAAATTCGTTATGGTAGCCAATTCACATCATCAACTCAGTTGATAATACTTAAATACCCTGTTATTCTCTCCAACCAACATAGCACCACAGTTTCTTTAGAAACTTACCCTCTTTATTCATAAAATCTATGGAGACATTATAGATAGATGTGTTGTTCACTGTCCTATATAAAAAATGTAATTCAAGTTATAATTCAAAGTCTCCTTGAAAAACACAATCTTTTTTTTTTATTTGTAGATAGAAACAAATTAAATAATTTTAGTTCAAAAGAATCAGGTAATTGAAAGAAGACTACTATTTATGAGTTGAAAGGACAGACAGTAATTTTCAGTCTAAATGGAAAAATTGTACATTTTATGACACATTATTTTTGTCAACCCTTTAACTCCTAGAAGTGATAAACATGAAACCTCTCCCTATAATATCCATACATTATTCAGTAAACAGGTAATGAGAATGTTCAAAGTTATCAGGTAGAAGCTGCCATCTTGATCGAGCACCAAGTTCTCATAACTAATTTACAAGGAAATGTGTAGCAGCTAGAGGGGAGAATTAACAATCAGATCTCGGGAGTTACAGGTTTAAAGCTAGATTGATAATTTAGACTGCTTTGGTAGTCTCTTTTCTTATCATATCTTTCTTAATCTGTTCCTTGCGTTTACAGAATGGCTCACTTTCTGAGCTGACTTTCAAGTTTTCGTGTTAAGAAATGTAAAAGCTATTGAAGGACAAGGAAATATTACATCTCAAGAAATTATGTGACTTTCTATCCCTTAGCACCCACCACTTCCATGCCCGTATTCAAGACTCCTGTAGCGGTTACCAAGCCTCGTTTTATGGCTTGGGATACAAGACACAACTAAACTCTGAAGAATGGTAAATGTCACTAAAGGCGTCCTAGTCGAATGGTAAGTTTTCTTCCCGGTTATTGGGTACAAAGAAACAAAAGAAAGGTTGTTTCTTCTTTTTGATTAATTTTTCCCGCGACAAAAATAAAAAGATCTAAAGATCACAACTCTGATCCGTACGGATGCATGTAAGCCGATTCATTGAAGAGATTGGAACATTTGGAGTTCTTGTCAAATCTTACTTTTCTTTCATATTCATAGCGATCCTGCAGTGAAGCAGTTTCTACTTCACCTCGATGAGAAAGTAGCTCTGGGAAAGAAGTTTGTGATCGAGGATCTCGATGAGACACACATATTCGTCTCTGCGGAAATTGTTCCTGTTCTCCAAGAAAAAGTGTGGGAAATAATGGATAACAACTCCTTCAATATTTCACAAAGCAGTTAAAAACAAAAAGATGGATCCAAGAGTACAGTATGAGATTTGTTTGTTTCAATGTTAACATCACTGAGTTGATCTGTGCCAAGTACGAACCACATGTTACTGAGGAAATTACGAAGATGTTGGGGCTGCATGTCGGACAGTGATGGTTAATCTCTGCTAATTGACGAACAGATAAATATTGGGAAATTACGTGTGGTTATTTACTGTGCGTGACACTCGGACTTTAAATAATATCATGGAAAACAGCAGCGCTGTTGTAGCATTTCTGGTCATTGGTCAATCTCTGTCCTCTATCTCCTTCACCTATCTTCCTTATGCCAGTTGATGCATCTGCTGCCAACCAGCTCTGTCACGTACTGCACTGCACCTCTCGCACCAAAAGCTCCATTTAGGTTTTCTCTCTCCTTCTCTGCAGTTCTCCTGTACAATTTCTTGGATCTTCCCCATCTCCAGTATGTCTTTCAGTACAACATCAATGGACAATGGACAGATCGATAAAGTAGAAAGAAGGCGGAGACCTATAGACAAATAGTAAAACAGATGAAGAGCTGAATTGATTGTTTTGCAATTATATAGTTTGCTAGACAATAAGTTCCTTATTAATTTTATTGACCTTATTGCAACAATTTTTATTGAAATTTTCTTTGGATGGAAAAACTCATTGAATGAAAATTCCTCTCCTGGCTCATAACACAGTGAAAATAGATGAAGGGCATCTTCACACAACAAATTTACTCATCTGTGGTGTAAACACTTGGTTAATTGAGATGTCCCTTTACTGGTTAGCTGTCCATAAAACCACAAGCACTTATCCAGAATTATTTGGCATTTATAGCCACATATGATCCATCAAATATTTTTGCTCCTGTGTGATCAGTTTAAACACAGCATGTGACCAAATACCCCCCAGGAAAAACTGTGGGATATACAAGAATATCACCCAAGCAATATTCCCCAATTTTTAAACCTCATGATCACTATGATAAGTCTTCCTTTCCAATTTAATTCAAGATTAGAGAGGGTTTTGTGGTTATCACAGAAGAAGGGAAATCTGTTTTTGTTCATTGAGTCATTCCAGAGAACCCTCCAAAGAAAACACCCCACGCTGCATACAGTAAGCTGTTCACAAACATTTTTCCACATGTGTTGCAAACTAGTTGAAGGATAATAAACACAGAAGCCTCTATTTTGCCCGAAAACATGTACAGATAATTTGTCCTCGGACATTACCTGTCTCTTGAAGCTCACAGTTTTTCTTAAGATTCACTCTTGGAAAACTGTTTGCATCTTGGAACAGATAATGTAGGTGGACAAGTGTCTGTAAATAAATTCTCCTTGTCAGCACTTAAGGAAATGGATAGTAAACAGTATGGAGAATGTGCATACTGATGTTAGCATGTAAAAGGTCATTTAACCCTTTCCATTAGGTTGAATGTGACTGTGAAAATTCTCTCATAATGTATTTCACACAAAGTACATTGCAGTTATTAAAATTCAATTTGTGATCCAAGGTATTTTTTCAAACAAATACAAATTTGAGTGCCCACGTGTTTGCAGACTTTCTCAACTATTTCCTCAGAAATTCTCATAAAATCAAAGTGAACAGTTATGTAGTTTCCAGACCCAACGTTCTATTGCGTAATACAATTGACGCATGCGTGGGAGTGTTCGCACGAGGTTGCGTAGTTATTTTCGCATGGTCTCTACCCTTACGTTTCCTTCTGTAGATTTTTATTTTAAGCATGAACTACGGAGACAAAGGAGGTGGCCCTTCTGGGTATGATCCGAGCACAGGATATTCTGGTAAGAAAATGAGTCAGTTTTTCCATGATTTAACTGAATCCAGGACAATCGACCAAGCCAGGATGCGCCCCCGAGCACGCTTGTCAAATCCAAATTTCCCTTTTAACTTTCTGTTGTAAATTTGATGTTGTTTAGACGTTGATGTGGATTTTCCGAAACTAGGTGATCTAGACTGTGGATGTTTGTATCCTTCAACCTGTAGTCGTTTTCGAGTGTGGCAATGTGGAGTTGGTTACCTTTTACCGGGTGTATTTCTGCAGTAATATTTATTAACCGGCGAACGATATGGGTTGAAAATAGCCCTGATTACTTTCTTAATTTCTGCATTTTAACCAAGCGAGTTGAGTTAAATTTGGTTATCATAAATTGGCATGACTGTAAAACGTCTTCTATGCAAGATAAAATCATCAGGTTAGCAATTTCCTTTCTAAAATTCAAAGAGTTAGTGTGTTACGTCACAGAGACGAAAAATATCGCGAAATTGGCAAGCACGAGCAAATAGTTTCCCCGATCGACGATAAATATCTTCAGCTTACCGTAGTATTCTATAGGAAATATTTATTTCGGCTCTTACTGGAACCTCTACGGGATCATACACTGAACATCTGAGTAGTATCTGAGCAGAACTCGTAAACTGTCGGTGAAAGGACTTCAAAAAGTGGTGCATCAGACATGAAATATCTGGAAAAGCTGTCGTGATTTTGGTTAAATTGCTTGGCTGGTTGATAAATGATCCCTTTCAGACAGTATTATAGGAGATAGAATACTTTTATCATGTGACATGCATGTGATGGGTCACAGAGGACAAGTGTTGAATTTTTTTGCCTCTGTCCATCTTTTGGGTGGCAAACGGTATCTTGAAGAATTCTGGATTTGGTGATCTTTTTATTCAATCTCATGAACTTGTCAGCCTTGCCAGTGAGCATGAAAGTGGAGTTTTGTGTGCATTTTATTTTGGTCCGGCATTTCTTTCACAGCTTTCTACCTTGTGGGAACTGTTTGTACAGCCCTGGTATGAAAGCTGTCATTTGAAAATATTACAATTTAGATGCTGAAATATAGTAAAAGAGGTACAAAGAAGAGAATTACAGCTCTCATACAACATTTTCTGTAATAAATAGTTCCATACAATAATACTGGTTATTAAGTTTTGGTCTCAAACTTTCAGACAAGGCTCTCTGCTTCTCAGTAGCCTCAGATTTTACTATTTACCACTCCTCATGTCTTGGTTTCTGTTTAGAATTTCCCCTCACATATATTTCCAGATTTTTGTTTTCAATACATGAATGCTTTTCCTGTTACTTTTTTTTTTTAGTGAACAGAGGAGCTGGATTGTCACCATATTTGAATATTGATCCAACATATCTAAATCAGGTAAAGGGTGTTCTTTCATGATAAGTTGAATCCTTTTTTTTTTTATTATTCGTTCTTACCCGAGATCTATTGGAGGATGGACACATAGATGACATCGCCATTATCAGCAACAAAATTTTGCTTTTTTTATCATATAAAACAAATAGATTCCATGTTGTCATGGGTTTGTACAGAAGCCATCAAAATATTGTAAAAACATCAGTGACACACTCGGCTGCACCTTGTGCGTCACTTTTTTGTTCTTACCACATTTTGACATCATCTGTGATCTTTTACTGAACATGGCATCAACGATATTGTATTTCCTGATTGCCACCCACTTTCAAACACATTGTAAACCCTTAATGAGCTAAAATACTCTACATTGGTGTAACTCTTATACTGAAGCTTTTCATGTCAATTTATTTTCAGGGGGGTGCAGAGTTTGTCTTTCCTTCAGACAGTAAAAAGAAGAGAAGTTTGGGCGAACAGATGTTTACTGGGGTTGGAACATTATACATGTGTGGTATGTTTGTTAAGACTTTCACACTTCATTTTCCTGTAAATGCTTGCAATAAGCAGCAGGAGAAGTTGCGATGAACACTTTTGAGTATTACCAGTACCCTCAGAGCAAACTTAGACAATACATACATGTACCAAATTCTACTTCATAGTTTTTTTCTTTTATTCAATTTTACTTTAAATTTTCATTTTTTTACTAAGTTCAACAGTTTTTCACTTTGATTTTGTTTCAACACAGCAAGTGTAACAAGTTAACAACTGGAGCTGTGTGTAGTTAACCCTTAAACTCTTTAACCCTAAGAGTGACCAGCATCTAATTTCTCCTCACAATATCTACCCTGAATCACATGTGGAGGTCATGAGAATAAAGGAAATGATCACCAACTAAAGAAGCTTTTGATTGTTGAACAAATTCTCTTTGTCAGTAAATGTATTAGAGACCAGTGTGAAGAATATGCATACTGATGTTGGGGTCATGCTCCAATAGAACACTGTTGCTACAGGTTACTTTGTTTTGGTCTTTGGGCAGCTTAAATATCTGTGTTGTTGTGACTGATAGTAAGAGCTTGGCACTCCTGGTTTTTAAGGTAACAGTCACAGCACCTAGTTACTTTTTGTAGTGTAGTAGGAAAAAAGGTTATTTTGTTTTTTCTCTCTCTTGTTAGGGTTGGCTGTTGGTGGAACATGGGGTCTGTATGAAGGTCTGCGGAATCCAGACGGAAAAACTATGAAGCTTAGAATAAACAGGTCTGCTTTTGATTAAGTTTTAATTAAGTTTTCTTCCTTCCCAAGTGACAAACCTGTACACTTACTTTCAAGAGTCTCAAAAAAAAAGTAACAATTTATTTGTCATCAGTAAATTTTCACCTTTGTGGAAAGTAACCTACAATTGTACTTGTTTAACTGTACTTCACTCTCTTATTGGTTGTGAAAACTTCCACATTCTCAACCAAAGATATGCAAAACTAAAACCAATCTTGACTTGAATAAAGGTGGGGAGTTTCATAAGAAACTGTGGTGCTGTGTCAGTAGAGGGTATTACAAGATAAGTTATCAACTGAGTTGGTGACATAAATGAGCCACTGTAAAGAATTTCTAAAGCTGACGTTTTGAGTGTTAGCCCTTGGTCAGACTTGGTGACTTTTTCCTGAAGCAAACTGCTACAGACAGTTTGCTTTGTTTAACTCAGCCTCTCATTTTCAGTCACTTGGATTGGCCACTTTGTTTGCTTCCATTAAATTTGTTTCTAACTCTCATCTTTAACTTATGAATTATATTGTTTAGTGTGTTAAATGGTTGCACAAGGAGAGGTCCATCATTTGGAAACAGTTTAGGAGTTATAGGTAAGGCAAATACAAAAATAACTACAGTAACTGTAGTTGTCAAATAAATCTGTCCTAAGGGCTCCAAGCTCATTTCTTATCAAATAAGCCATTTGGTGACTTAATGGTCATAAAATAACAATTAGACATAAACATTTCAAGGATCAAGACTCAACCCTTAGACCTGTAAGAGTGACAAGCATCTAATTTCTCCTTACAGTGTCACCCTAAATCACTCAATAAGTTAATGAGAATAATGAAATGATCAACCAACCAAAGAGGCTCTTCATTGTTGAACAAATTCTCCTTGTCTGCATCTTAGGAAAATGTACAGAGAACAATATGGAGAATATGTATACTGATGTTTGAGTGTGAAGGGTTAACCTATCAAGTTCCAGCAATAGCCTTTTGTTTTTCTTGTTCACAGCTGTCATGTACTGCAGTTTAGAGGCATTAATTAGCAAGGTACGAGGAGGAGAGGAAGACGAGTTCAATTCCATTGGTGCTGCTACTCTTGCAGGAATGATTTTTAAATCGACAGCTGGTTTACGGCCCATCGCCATCGCAGGTGCTGTGGGAGGAAGCCTGGCGGCGGGTTATCATTTTGGACAAAAGCTACTGACTAGCAGAGGACACACTATCTCGACACCTAACTGGGCATAGCCCTGTTTTCGATCTATGCTTTTCTTCTCTGTTGCTGTGCTTTGAACCTTGTGCAAATATCAGGAAGTGAGCTGAAAGTGGCATTTAATTGTTGCACCACAGAAATACCAAGGAGAGAAGACTTTATTATTATTATTATTTATAATAATTTTGCGCGCTATTCAATTTTGAGGGTATCTGTTCCAAAGACGTTAAGGTCAGCATTCAACAACAAAAACATTACAACCAGAACATTAACAAGCCAGAATTTATCCTGGAAACTTGTGGAGACATACAATATCATGGATGTTGCTTATGAACTGAATGTGCAGTTATGCAACATATATATGACCAAGATGACAACAAGAATGTTGTACTGAGGGAGGACTACACTGGGTTTTAATTGCCACATAGCAGAAATAAATAGTGCAAAAAATAAATATCTTTCCAGTTAAAAGAAAAAAAGTTGACTTGCCAGTCATTAGAGTGTTCAATCTGTCTGCCATGTTGCAGTGTTCCCTTTTTCAGGTGGTAACCGGTAAAATTTTTAGCCATGTAATACCTCCTATTACTGTGTAAAATTGCTTTAAATTCTTGAAAATGCAGCAGGTAAAAGGATTGCCCCATCAGTTTGAAAATACCAACAACAATTAAAAATACTTTGCAATACTATACACCAAAACTTCCAATAAGTTATTTATTATCCAACTGCTTTTTTACTGTCACAATATCAGTACATTATCAATCAGACTATTGAAGAGCATAATAAAAAAAATATCAAGTAGGTGATTATTAGTTGATCCAACACAAAATTCTCAGAACTAAAATCATGAGAATTACATGGCAAACTGTAAGAAGAATCACTAATGAGATCTTGGGAAAGAAAGGGTTAAACAGCAAATGCAATATTCATATTCTGCCAAACTGCATGTAGTTAATACATTGATTATTCATTCCATTCTGGAATAACTACAAGTGACTTTAAGGTTATTATTTTATACAATGTGTGATATTGTTATGCCTGGAAAGTCAATCACAAATTCACAACAGGAAAATTAACCCAGTATAACTGATCAATAACAAACACATTTTAAAACGTTTCTCTGTGCAAGAGATTTGCATTATGGCAAACAATTGGCATTTCTATTGTTACATGGAATAAAAATGAGTATTTGTCACTGTGATGTATAACCTTTATAGTGGAGGCTTAAAGGTTAGGTGGAAGTGTGGGAGGAGAGGGTGAGGAGATGGGAAAGCCTGCATTTCTTGCTTGAAGTCCAACATTTGCTCTATAGTCATAAGGGTCTGCAGGTCCAGGAATAACATGTCTGGGTGCAAATCCTGGTGGTAACCCTGTAGGGATAAGTTGAGAAATAGATGGCCTTGGTGTACCAAATTGAGGAAGGGGCACATTTCCCATAAGGCCAGGATATGTATCAGGAGAAGGTCCCATGGGCTGTGGCATAAATGGGCCTCTTTGAGATGGACCTCTTGGAGGTAGCCCTGCATAGAGTCCTGTATGTCCCATTATCAATTGTTGAGGACCTTGAGGTGGGTGGTGCATGTAGGGATTCCCTGCGAAAAGGGAAGGTCTTAGCCCCATATGAGGAGGTGCCTTGAGTGGTAATGTGCCTCTTGCAGGGGGAAAGGGTCTCCTTTGGCTAGTGGCAAAATTCCCTCCATCTTGGCTCTGGTTGGCAGGTTTTCCTCTTCCACGGTTCTGCCAAGTTCTTTTCCTGCCACCTGCAAGTTAAAAGGCCATAACATGAACTTACATAGAAGGGTGTTTCATGTTACCAATGCCCTCATTATACATTCACTCCTTCAGTGCTTCTCTCTAACCTGATCCATTTTCCTAAAGACGTACTGGCTTGGTAAACTCATTTATACTTCTAGTCATATTGAGCATTATCTGCTTGATGATAAAAAAGAGATACAAATTGACTAAAAACTGTTTTACCAATAAAAGAAGGCCAATATACAGGCTGGCAGCTCTATATTTTATTCTCTAGAAAGTGAATAAATAAAATACCATAATTGAAAATTAAAATTACAAAAATTCTCAAAGTCTACCTCGATTGGATCCCTGGTGAATATTTCTTTCACTCTCTGTGTTACTTGCTTTATCAACATCTGCAGGTGGGCCTTTCTTAGCCATTCTGTAAGTTAAAGGAAAAATGGACTAATTATTTATAAATTAATGTATTTAATGCATTTTGTGAAGAAATCTATTCACTGTATTTTCCTCAGGTACACAAAACTCCTTTCAAGTTTCACCTTTCCTTCTTTTTGCTGGCCTTAGCCTTAGCTTCTTCCTCATCATCAGAAAATTCCACAGCCTGTGAAACAAGTCAATAAATTAAATAACTTTTTTATTTAAGCAGTAAATTTGGTCAGTAATTTACAAGAGTTTCAATTAATTTTTCCTTAAATGGCAGTGGTTAGTATAATAAGTAGCTGTGCCATGAGGCAAAACCCAAACATGGAAGCCAACCCACAGGATAAACAGACAGCAGTGGTAAGATGTCTTACAGGCAGCAGTAGACTGCTGGTAACCCAATTTTATTGAAACCTTTCAATTTATCAAACTTATGACAACTCAAGTTTTCTTTGTTTGGGCAAAATAGCTATCCTTTTAAACTGCTGGTGCTGTCATCCTTGTAACAATCCTTTTGCTTTGTAAATAAAATAAGAAAGATTGTAAGTTTTGTAAGTTTTGAGCTTGGTAAAAAATAGAGAAAGATGTTTTTCATCTTGTTGTGGGACAAAGAAAAAATTCTGAGTCTCCATGAGGAATTGTAACCTCACACCTTTAGATTCCGCGCTTTGATGCTTTACCTTTGAACCACAGAGACTCTATAGTGTGCAAGGCTCATTACAAAGTTCATTTATGACATGCATCCTGCATACTGCTAGGATCAGCAATGTCAATAGCGTCATGTTTTGTAAATGGAATAAGAAAGATAGTTAGTTTTGTTGTCATCGCTAAATCACCTCTACTGGGGGTTCTTCATCATGTTCCCATGAGGCATCAGATCCCTTCAGCCTAAAAGTAAATTGGGAGAAAAATGTACAACTAAATTTATTGAGTGTTGAGTAAGCTACACCTTTGAGGCTTACTGATTTTACAAAAAAATACAAAATAAGAACTCCATACATTTAAACTGAAATTTAATATTTTCACTACCAAGATACAATTTGTAATTCTCTTTACTGACTTCCATATAATTCCTTGGGAAATATCATTCCACCATGAACCTCATTCCCCACAAAGTCTTCTTCTCAGTAAACTCTGCCAACTCCAAAACTTAACCCCTTAACTCCCAGAAGAGATTGATGTATAACTTCTCCCTATAATATCCATATATTATCCAGAAAACAGGTATTGAGAATACTCAAACTCATCAGGTAGAAGTTGTTCCCTTGATCTAACACCAAATTCTTGTGAGTAATTTACAAGGAAATGTGCTACTAGAGGAGAATTAAAAATCAGATCTAACTCTGCTTGTGCGGAGGTAATGCTTACTTTTTAAGCTGTGCCACAAAGACAAAGTTGGAATACTCCATCATGTCAGGAGCATAGAACACTTTGTCTCCTACATGAATATTTCTTTTGTCAATGTCTGCCTCATTGTTAAATCTGACTGAATAAAATGGAGTCTGCACTGGTCCAAAGGTCTCAAAAACCTGCAGAGAAAAATGCTTATTCATTTATAAATTCTTGATCAAAGCCATGGCTTTGTGAAATATTCAATCACTTTTTTATGAATAAGTCAGAATACAGTTTCACTTCAGATGACTCACAGAAGTAATGTCACTAACAACTTGGTGTAGACAGAAATTTTACAGTGCCGTTAATTAATTGATTGATCACATTAAAGCACTCAAACAATGATTCCAACTAAATCCAATTATGCCTTCTAAAAACTAAGTAAAAACAAAACTACAATCAGCATCAAAATTGGTCAACTCATCATACTGGAAGAGTTCTATTTATGTGTAGAATAACACACCTGTTTCTACCACACTCTAAATCTAAATCATTGACCCCTTCCCCCCCTCCCCCATTAAATGTGGCCTGTATATTGCTAGGGTTCATGGAATCAAAAACAATTTTTTTTTTGGGGGGGGGGAGGGGGCAAATAGGTGAAATTAACAAGGGGAAAACAAATAACATTGAATTACTAGGGGTTAAAAAGGTCAATGTGTCAACAATTTTGTTGCCAATTGTAGCAATTAAGAGTAGGATATCATAATTTCTGGGCTGATTTCCAGCATTTAATCTGTTAATTGCAATTGTTGCTGCAGGTATTAGCGAGGTGCAGGTTATGTGACCATTTGAACTCTTCCAATACTGGTTACAACTCTTTTACATTAACTACCATTTTGAAACAATCCCTTATTAGGATACACTTCCAACAAGACTTCATCTTCACTATACATACCACACCAAGACAGGATCTGTTCTCCAAGAAAAGAGCACTGTCTGAATCCAAAGCTGAAGTTTGTGGTAAGGCTTTTACTACCACTAAAAGAATAAAAGAGCTGCAGTGAAGGTCAAAAATTATGAAGAAGAACTGGAATGCCTTGTAGAGAATTAAACATCATCAGTCTCTTTGCCTATAATGTCTACAATACAATTGTTGTGATGTTGGTTTGGAGAATTTGGTAATGCATCTACTTGTGATCCCCTTATTTATATTTTTCTTTATTCTCATCACTTACCTGCTTGACATTGTATTATTATTGTAAGGAGAAATTCACTCTTGATCACTCATGGGAATTAAAGGGTTAAGTTACTAAGACTTTCTAGAAACAGGCCTTAAGTTGCTGGTAATGTATGTTGCTTCTCTATTTTGTTTGACAGATTGGTAGAGAGGATGTCATGAGTTTCCTGAGCCACTCACAGTATGAAGTAAAAAAAAAAGCAATGTTATACTAGATTTCTCAAGTCAGTCAATACAGAATGTTTCTAGTTAACCCTTTACATCCAAAGATCAGTATGTATATTCTCCATTCTGTTCTTGTTTCATGATCAAGAACAGTTTTAGTTGGTGATCATTGACTTTAATCTTGTGACATTAATGTGTGATTCAGGAAAGACAGTGTAAGGAGAAATTAAATGCTAAACACTCTAAAGGGTCAAATTTTGAGGGAAAAAAAAAGAAGAACAAATCTTACCTAATGACTCAACCACACTGAACACCACTCCAAGTTCTACAAGCTGAACATTTTCATCAACAGTAATATCCACATCTGAAACTTCAGGAAGGTCCTGAAAATATATTTATTTTTAACTGTACTCAATTTAATGATTACATTACTGTTAACATCTATGACCAGGATAGCAATTCTCCTTTTTAGCTGTTACAAACTTCCTTTGACTTAGTTTGGAGAATAGGGTCTGAGATCAATGTTATACTCTCCAGCTGATAAGCTCATCTATTCTTATCACTGTTTTACTGGATGACGTTTTGATATTATGAGAAAAAATTTCATGTTGATAAAGAATGGCATTTGCATAAAACATGTAATATTGTATAAGAAATCTCTTTGAATTTATTTTCTCCCCATCTTTTTAATTTTCTTTTTTCCTGGCAGAAAAAACTTAATTTCCGACATTAAAAGAGTTGAGCCAGGAGCTTAGTCCTCAAAAAAAAATTAAGTACAGGTACCTTCACTGACAGTTCACTTCTTGTTTTCAGTGGCCCTACATAGGTACGATCCTCCTCTTTTTCAATCTCTTTTCTGATGTCTTCTAGATCGTCACTTGAAATTTATTTAGAAAAACCATTATCAACCAATTAATGCATAGATCCCACGTTGCCAATTGTGTCTGTTCAGTGATAAATCACAGATGTAGCAAAAATGTGGTAAGAACAAAAATATAGCACACAAGGCACAGCTGAGTGGGTCATTAATGTTCTTTCCATATTTTGACATCTCCTGTGATCTGTTACAGCACAGACCCACAGCAACATTGAATCAATTTGTTATAATTTGTCCAATGTTTTAAATGATAAAAAAGTAAAATGCTTTTGATGACAACATCGTGTTGGCATCTGCCGCCTAATAGATCATAGGGAAGAACCAATCAAAATGCTTTTCTAATTAAGGTTGGTATATACCTAAATCTAAAAAGATAACTATTCAATACAAGACATCATCAAAACAATTTAGTGAATGCATGTGGTTGTAACACCTCAAAAAAGAAACTATTTCAATCACTTACTCAGAGCTGGATTCAGAGCTTTCACTTGATGAGCTTTCGTCATCTGAGGAACTATCACTAGACAAAGACTGAACTGCAGTTGGATCCTGTGCATGTTCTTTTGTCTGCACAGTACTCCCAGTCTCACAGATAATCTCAAGTTCTTTGTCAATACTACTCATAGTGTAAACCTGATGACAAGTATTTCCATCATGGTTTGTTGCAAAGTGACCATGTTGTTCTAACTCTAAAATTCTGCACTGATCTCTTTGGGACTCTTCAGGAGTATCTACATCTCTCATGTCATCTGGCTCTGCAACTGTTTGCTCACCACTCTCTGTTGCTATAGATGGAACATCATTACTCATTAAAAAGCTCTGTCCACCATCCTGTTCCTCAACAGATGTGTGTCTCCTGTCAATAGACTCATCTACTGTGTATTCATTATCCTTAGGTTTTATTTTAAGGACGTCTTCACACCTTTTAGGTTGTGGTAATGCATGGTCGTCTTTTTTAGGATATAAGGGAATATTATCATCACCACTTGATGCAATGACGTAGTCCTTGTTAGACAGAACCTTCAAAACTAATTGACTATCACTTTCCTTTAAACCAAGAGAGCATCCATTACTCCCAGGTTCTGAGAGCATAAAAGCATCACTTTTAGGCCCTACGGTAAGTTTACTTTGAGGCGCAGTCCCAGGCGAGCTAACCCTATTTAAGCTGTTGTTTTGTTCTTCCAAAGCTGTACTCTCCTCTCTAACAGAACCTAGATTAACACTAACATTCACGAAGTCATTCGTGTCCATTTTGTTGCCAATGATGTTGCTTTCTGCAATGAGGCGAGTGTCTGCAGAAGTCTCGTCCTCTGAGCTGGAATACGCTTCTGCAATTACTGCGAGACAGTTCTTTCCATCAATGCTGACTGTTCTCGTTTCTTCCTCGTTTGAGACTTTGTCGCCTTCGAACTCACACATTTTCTCGGTTTCATGCTGCATTGTAGTTTGAATGCTTAGGCCTTTTCTGTTTTAATTACAGGTAGGTGACACGTTTTGTAATGATAAAATTTCCTCTAAACCTCTGAATTTAACTCTTAGAAGTTGTATACCTTGTTCCTTACTTTTGAGGCATAGGCGAGAGAAGATACTTTGCTGGTGTAACTGAAAAACAAATGAAACGTTTAGCTACAAAAGATCTGTAAAATTTTCACTGATCGCGTGGAAAGGCGACAAGAAAACCACGTCGAAAATTGGCAAAATAAAGACTTCACTCGACATGTTTACACACACACGTGCTTCGAATGTACATCATGATCGCATGTTCACATTGCCATTTGCCCAAAATGCATCGCGCGCCTCTATGTCGCTCTCTTCGGCTCCACCAACAAAGTGAAGGTAGGAAACAATTTGTCTACCTTACAAAATCCGTTTGAATCCTCAAAAATCCTTACACCGTTGTTATTGATTTGAAGTGATCTGAAATGATTAACGCTTGGTGTGTCCATTTGTGTTATTTTCGCTCCAGATGGTGCAGCGACTGACTTATAGACGTCGTCTTTCCTACAATACCAAATCCAACAGGAAAAGGATGTGAGTTGCGCGAAGAGTGAATGTTACCTTTTATTACGATCATTTTGTCCTTCCGTTAAAACTCAAGTGAACAGTGAACATAATTCTAATTTTTCTTTTTTGTTTTTTTTTCGCCATCTGCAGCTCCAAGACTCCTGGTAAGTTTGTTTTGAATCTTTATCTCCTTTGTAACTCGTGCAAATTGTGGCATAGTCTTCAGATGATTACGAAAAGATCGTCGTATTTTTTCTGCTGAACTGAGAAGTCTGTATTTTTAGCAGTTTTTTAAAGTATTGTTTTCTTGACGTTTCTCTGCATTGTCAATCCGTTTGGGGAGTTGTTTCTCTGACAGCTCTCTATCTATTTTGCAGAGCTATTAGAATACTTGGTTCCATCTTGATCGTGTTGTCTGATTGTCCGGGTGAGAATTCCCCATCGATTTCACTTGGTTCTGAAAACGTCTGTAACACCACCATCGTTCCCTTTCAAGGCGATATCAATCAGACAACACAATCACCTGTTTCTTTTTTCCTCGAATCATTTTTTGTTCTGTTGTTTCTCCATATCCTTGCCAATTTATGTTCAATTAATTTTATTTTTAAGGAGGAAAGTTGGTTTACTTGTACACAAAGAAGCCAGGCAAGGTTCCAAGATGTGGAGGCTGCCCAAAGAAACTCCAAGGAGTGAGTAGATATTTAGAGGGTGTTACTTAGAAGCATGAACATGGGTTTTATTTCCAGTTAACCCTTTGACTCCCAAGATCTCTTTGGTAATTCTCTTTACTGTCTGCCATACAGTTCTTGTGATGTTAGTTTGGAGAATT